AAACATGTCTTAGATGCAAATGTGCAATAGTGGCAGTATCTGGTACTTTATAACCGTTACCAATACCTGAAGGAATGTAGCAAAGCGTGGCTATGGATTTTATTGAGGGCCTTCCAAAATCAAATGGCAAAGACACTATATGGGTGATTGTTGATCGACTAAGCAAATGTGCTCACTTTATCCCCTTGGCCTACCCTTTTCCTGCCTCCCAACTTGCCTAAATCTTTATGAGTCAAGTATTCAAACTATATGGGGCATCAACCAATATTGTTAGTAAAAAAGACTCGATATTTTCTAGTAAATTATGGTCTATTTTTCTCCAACAGTTATAAGTATTTCAAAGCCTTTCCTCTTCATACCACCCTCAGTCCGATAGTTAGAGTAAGGTTCTTAACATGTGTTTAGAACAGTTCAACTGTTGCGTGGTTTAGAACTTCTCACAAGATTGGATGACATGGTTACCATCTGCCAAATAGTGGTATAACACTAACTATCACACTGCCACAGGCCATGCTCCTCATGAAATCTTATATGGTCAGTCACCTCCTATTCCTTTGCCCTACATCCCCAAGAGTGTTTTGTGGATGTTGTTGATTGTTCTTTTATAGCTAAGGAGCTTATGCTTCAAAAACTTAAAAGTAATTTGCAAAAAAAAGGATGAAACAATAGGCTGATGAACATAGATCTAAACTTGAATTCCAAGTTGGTGACTGGGTGTTGTTGAAGCTCTAACTTTATTGACAACAATATTTTAGCTTAAGGAAAACTGAAAAGCTTCCACCTCACTACTTTAGGCCTTATCAAATTTTGTACAGGGTAGGACCTATTACGTACACATTGAAATTGCTAGAGTATTAGATCCACCCTATACTTCATGTGCATTACTCAAACCACCCTATACTTCATGTGCATTACTCAAACCATGTAAAAAATCCAAAAATTCCCTCAAGACAAGTTCCAACTGAATGAGGACATCTAAACACTTCGAAGGCACCTTTGAAGATCTTGGATAGGAGGATGGTTCAAAGCCAACACAAAACTATCACTTAAGTACTAGTTTAATGGTAGAGAGAATTAGCAGAGGAAGCAACTTAGGAGACTTGGTTCCATATCCAACAAAAATATCCTCACTTTGTTGCAACTCAACACCCTTGAAGACAAGGGTACTTTTGATGAATAAGAGTATTGTTAGGAAATAATAAATAATTGGGGGGGGGGGCATTTTAGAAAAGTAAATAACTAATAATTGAATTCTATTATGTAGGTTGGATGAAAGTTATTAGATATGACTAGTATAAAGTTAACAAGAATGTACATGTTAGGGATGACAATAATACAACAAATTTCTTCTTTCTTAATCTCATTATCTCTCAAGTTTTTTTTGAACGTATCATAACTAAAGAAAGCATTAATTATTAAATTTTTTTCATCATATTTTGGAAGTTGCAGGATTATTTTTGAACATCACCCGACATCAACTATTCCAGAATCTCCAAGACCATGGTTGATGTGTAAAAATTGATTACTGGGCAAGTGAACCCATTGTAAGAGTAATATTGCAAAAAATAGAGTACCAAGTATCGTATCCACATGGACTGTTATTAAGAATTGCTGCTTCCTTTGATTTTCCAATTGTTAATGAATATGAGCAAGAAATTATATTGATAATTTTTATGAACTAAGAAAATAACAAATTAAAAGAAACAGATTTCTATGATAATAAAACCTAGAAAAGTATGGCTAAATGTATTTAAGAGAAATAAGTGAGTCTCTAGATTGTAAATCCTCCTAAATGTCTAAATAATTGGAATTCTCCTTCAGCTACTTAGTTCTAGTCCCTTGTTACTGCAGGAATTTTGGAAATAAACCAATACCTTTCTCAAGGATAATGGTTCCTAACCTTCGGTTGATTAATCAGAATCTCTTCCTTAATTAGTTCCTCTAGGTTGCATTAAGTTTATTATGAATTCCATAATTAGAGTTATTCCTAATACAGAAAACTCATGCCTTTCTATCTCTAGAAATACATTCAAGTCCTTTTAATTGAGTAATGGTAAATTCATGTAGGATTTTTACTCAAAATCAAATAAGAAAAATAAGATAGGAGACAATTAATATTACTCAATTAAACTCAAGAGAAGAGAATATGAAATAGCATTAAGAAGAATTTCAAAAGGCTTGGTCAAATAGGATTTATTACGTCTAGATACTCAAGGAAAAATTAGAACCTAAACATCCCAAAACTACAATTACAAAATAGAGAGATTAAAGAGCTTGATTCCATTCTCCAGCTATCACTGACTCCGTCTTTCCTAAAAACAGTGTCCCTGGTTTTTGTGCTAAGTTCCCTTTTATATGAGTGGTCGCAGGGTTCATCTTTTCGCAGAAGTTTAAATTTTGACGCACGTTAAAAGTACTCGCCCATATACACGGCCATGAACTTTGGCCATGTACATCTCTGGTATTGATGATGCACTTCACTTGACGCGACTAGTTAGATACACGCTCATATACACGGGCGTGTACTTGTCCGTGTATATCTCTAGCTTGATTATATGCTTGATATATGCAACCAGTGAGATACACGCTCATGTACACGGACGTGTCCTTGCCCGTGTATATCTTTGGTTCTGATTTTTGCTTCAATTCTCATTATCTTTTAAAGCTTTCACTTCTTGATCCTTTTTTTCCCCTGAAATATGAACAAAATGGGCTTAATAATTAATTCTCTCAATGAATAACTCAAAATTCTCAATTATCCTTCATAAATTACATTATAAGACCAAGTGTGGAATGAATTTATCAATGGTCTCTTTTACTATCCGTGAAGATAAATTTCCAACAACAAATGGTTCAGTTAAAATTGTTATTCTAATGAATTTAGGAAAATATGATCTTCATTATTGTTCTCTTATACGAATAGGTCTTTTTTCATATAGTCCACTATTGTGATAAGCACTTTGGATTTTTCATTTATAGTAATACATGTATCCTTGGATTGAAGATTCTCCAATTATGTTGTACTACTAGATTTTATCGGGAGACACTTATTGAATTCAACTAGATTTTATCGGGAGACAATAACAAAGGTTGATTAAGTGATACAAACAAAGATATAAGAGAGCATAACCACTTAGAATTCAAATTTTTGCCTTTACAATACTCAGATTTTGACAAAGACCTTAACTTTGAAGATGAAGAGCAACTAAAAAAGAAATAGAATTTGAGGGAAGAGGAATTAGAGTTTTAAAGAAAAGGAATGAGAGGGCGGTAATAAGGAAATAGGGAAGAGTTTTAAAAATTTTAATTGATATAAAGAATAATTTTTCATAATAAATAAAAATATTTGTTTCTTTTAACTTCTACCTAATTCTTAATTAAATTTTTAAAAGTATTTAATATATTAATTATGATGACAAATTTAAAATTTTTAAATAAAATATAATTAATAATAATTTATATTTGATGATTTTGTCATAGTGTTTTATTTGTTATTAAATATTATAGTAATTATTATAAATTCAAATTTTTAAAATTAAGATTAATTAATTATAATAATTGAAGTTATTTAAATACTATTAAATATTACAATAATAAAATAATAATATATTTATAAAGCATATACATATTATTTGTTATTAAATTTTTTATAATAATAACTGAGTAGATAATAAATTATAATATTTAAAATATAAATTAAGTTTAATTATTATATTTATTTTTTATATATACAATTTATTTTAAATGTATTTTTTTATTTTTTATTTTTATATTAAAAATAATTATTTGATGGTTACTTGATAAAATATTATTTTTAAATTAAATTAACTAATAAAAAATAAATAGATTCGTGCAAACACCTACAACACACAATTATGTTTACTAGTTCTTGACTAAAATAATGTTTTAATTAGTTCTTTGACAAATTACAAATTGGTTAATCTTTTATGTTACTATCTTTTATTTGCTCTAATATTTTTTACATAAAAAATAAATATTTGATAGTTATTTGGTAAATAAATTTTTTATCTTTAAATTATAATTTATAAATTAAATTAAGTAATAAAAAATAAATATATTTGTACAAATCTGTACAATATATGAATATATCTACTAATTCTTAATTAAAATTATATTCTAATTAATTCTTTTATTAATAAATCATAAATTTATTAATTTTTTATGTTATTATCTTTTACTTGATCTAAAGTATCTAAACTACCTGTTTTTAGTTACGTTTTTTTTTCTTTCTAAAATTTAACTTTTAGAAAGTGAATCTATATATTTTGAAAATTAAATTTAAAAATATTAATAAATTATTTTTAAAATTTACTATTCTAATGATATAAGATCACTTCTAAAAAATAAAAATAAAAATTAATTTACTAATGAATTTTAAGATTTGATTTTAAAAATATAATATACAAATTTGCATAAATTTAATTTAAAAAAATGGTGCAAGCAAGAAAAAAAGGTAAAAATAAATTTTTTAAAGTTAATTTTGACTAATTCAATACTTAAATTTAACTAATCTTAAAAACTTTTATACTATATTTGAACCTTTCATTAATATATTTCCTTTATAAATTAAGTTTACTGAATTTTATCCTAATATTATCGTATCATTGATTGAGTCATGTTGAAGTAAAAAAAAAAAAGAATTAATACTAGAAGAGCTTATGCCTTTTATTTCTTTTGAGATAGCTCTTTTAACCTTACAACTTTTTTTAGGCTCTGATACCATATGTGTATAGACTTAGAAAAATTCTTTAACTTTTGTTTACTTGTTGGGTTTTGGGCACTCTTAATTAGAAATTTTTTTTGATACTATTGATACTTCAAATATGATAAAAATAAAATTAAATTCATCTCAGTCAATCTGCACACATCTGTAATTAAACATGAAAAAGTAAAATAAAAAATAGTGCTACAGTGACATTGAAGATATTTTAACAAAGCTACTTGAAACCTATTATTTTATTGAAATAAAGATGGATACTAGGCAATTACGATGAAGAACTTGAAACTAAAAAAAAGCTGAAATTTCAAACCAAGCCTTGCAAGCGAAACCAAAATTCCAAAAAGTTGCCGATTCTCCTCCAAAATCTAAAATGCGTCTCCTCGATTTGGTCGTCCATGCAATCTAATACCGAAGCCCGAAGAGCAATAACAACAATAACATCGGTAACTCCGTCGTCCAAAATCATTAAGTACAAACATTATGGATTCACTCCTCTCGGCTAAAAACCCTACCTCCCTCCCTCCACCGCCCGGAATCCCAATCTCGGCCACAACGATGGCGACAAATTCCAAAATCTCAACCCCAATTTTAATCCCAAAGTTAGAACCTTTGGACGAATGGGTGGTGACCCACACTCCCCAACAAGAAGAACAAGCCCGAGAAGCACTCGATAATACTTCAAACGGTTCCCTCGGCTTGGACCTCAGCCTCTTATGCGATGCTCCTTCCAACGAAACCAACCACTTATATTCCGACTTCAACCGACTCGTTGAGCTCTTCCGTGCCACTTTCCCCGAGGACTTGCAACACTTCGAAAATCCCGACCCCACTGCCAAAGGCTTCCAAAATGACTCTGAGGGTTTGCAGCAAATGCAAAACGGCGTCGTTCCCGACCAACTCCCCGAGGGGACGCATCAGATCTTAAACGACTCCGTTCCAGACCATGATTCGCGGGCCATTGTGCCCGCCCCGGCACAGGAGGGCTGGGACTCGTCGCCCGGGTCCATGTTCCCGCGGCGGCGATGCAAGGAGCTTGTTCGCGTCACGGATGTTGGCGCGAGGGAGCAGCGTCACTTCCGCCAAGCCGTTCGCCAGACGCGGATGCTGTATGATTCGATCCGCGTGCTGGCGACGGCGGAGGACGAGAAGAGGGTGGAGATGGGGCGGAAGGCACGTGGCGATTTGAGGGCTTCGGCATTGATGAAGAGCCGTGGTTTGTGGCTGAATCGTGATAAGAGAATTGTTGGTGCTATTCCTGGTGTTTGCATTGGTGATGTGTTTCTTTACAGAATGGAACTTTGTGTTGTAGGGTTGCATGGTCAACCTCAGGCTGGGATTGATTATCTTCCAGCTAGCATGAGTTCTAATGGTGAACCAATTGCCACTAGTGTTATTGTTTCTGGAGGATATGAGGATGATGTTGATGAGGGTGATGTTATCATCTATTCTGGCCATGGTGGCCAGGATAAGCATTGTAGGCAGGTTTTTCATCAGAAACTTGAAGGGGGGAACCTTGCAATGGAGAGGAGTATGCATTACGGGATTGAGGTCAGGGTGATTCGCGGGGTGCGCTATGAGGGCACTTCCTCTGCCTCTGGGAAGGTCTATGTTTATGATGGGTTGTATAGGATCCTTGAGTGTTGGTTTGATGTTGGCAAGTCTGGATTTGGAGTTTACAAGTATAAGCTGTGGAGGATTGATGGGCAGGCTAAGATGGGTAGCGTGGTTCTTAAGGAGGCGCTTATGCTTAGGAGGGACCCGTTGTGTTTTAAGCCCATGTGTTGTTTGTCTGTTGATCTATCAAATAAGAAGGAGAATGTAGCAGTTCGGCTTTTTAATGACATTGATCAGAGTCATGATCCTCTTTGTTATGAGTATCTTGTGAGGACCAACTTTCCTCAGTTTGTGTTTCATCAGACTGGTACGGCTATGGGTTGTGACTGTGTGGATGGTTGTGTTGATGGATGCTTTTGTGCTATGAAGAATGGGGGCGAGTTTCCTTATAATAATAGTGGGGTCCTCTTGAGAGGGAAGCCGTTAATTTTTGAATGTGGTCCTTTTTGCCGTTGTCCTCCCAATTGTCGGAATCGGGTCACACAAAAGGGGCTCAAAAATAGGTTGGAAGTGTTTAGATCTAGGGAAACTGGTTGGGGAGTTAGGTCCCTGGACCTAATTCAGGCTGGTGCCTTTATCTGTGAGTACACTGGGGTTGTTCTGACTAGGGACCAAGCACAAATTTTGGCTATGAATGGTGATTCATTAATATATCCAAATCGGTTCACTGATAGGTGGGCAGAATGGGGGGATTTGTCTCTCATAGACTCCAATTATGTGCGTCCTTCATTTCCATCGATTCCTCCTTTAGATTTTGCTTTGGATGTGTCAAGAATGAGGAATGTTGCTTGCTATATTAGTAATAGTCCAACTCCAAATGTGTTGGTTCAGTTTATTCTGTATGATCACAATAATTTGATGTTCCCTCACCTTATGCTGTTTGCAATGGAGAGCATCCCTCCAATGAGAGAGCTCAGCCTTGATTATGGGGTAGCTGATGAGGTGACAGGAAAGCTCTCTATATGTAATTGAATGATTTTGAAAATTTCATACACGTTATAAAATGCTGAAGCCAAGTTTTGGGCATTGTTTCCTGAGGTAAATCCAAGTTCTTTAATCATCTTGTTCATTTTTAGTTTTTCATTGTTGTCTTCCATTTGATTTTATCTTATTTTTCTCTAGCACTTTGTGCAAGGCCATTGTAAACTCTGTTAACCATTTGACTTGTAGGTCTATTATCCATTGTGAACTGCAATGAATTGTGGTCTTTCTAATATTTATTGTGACTTTTAGGATTTACATAATATGTTGTAATATCTTATCATAGCTTGCTTTGCAAGCTGATCATTATGAGATGCTCAAAAGGTTAAGGTCATTGAGATTTTTGCTAAAATGATTTGGTTGTCTAATATGATTTTGATTCCACTGATGATGTGGCAGACTATTTGGATGTTGCCATTATAGGTTACCTGTTGAATCTCATTTTGATAATTAGTGACATTGTGTCGACTCACCTCAATATTTGCATGGTGGTAATTCAGTAATTGAGAGTTGGTTATGAATGGTAGTATTCTTGCTGTTATTAATGTCAATGTTAATATATATTTCTTTATGCTCCAAATAGTTCTTATTGAGGACAAAAGACGCTACTAATTGCCATTTGTTATTGAAAATTTCCTTCTTTATTTTGAATTGGAGCTTAAATAGAAATATGGAATTAAGCATTTTTTGAATAACCATATTTTGACCAGGTCTATTTAAATGTGTATATTAGTGGATTGTGGAATGATTTCTACATTTTGGTCTTCTTAATTTTATATTTCACTCTACTGATGGGAGGAAGAGCTGGATAATTACTTTTATATTTTGTATCTACTTCATGAATGTTGATTTGCCATACTGTGAATCTTTGCTTGTACAAAAAGTGCAGCTGTCATGTTATATACCCTAGCAACTGAAAGATGGCCTTTAGGCTTAAGCAATTTATATTATCAAAATGTGCTTTATTTCTGTTGGATTTCCATCCTGCTTCAATAACCATTGGGTTTCACTACATAGATTCTCTTCACCTGGGTTTTTGCAGTGTCCTTTAGGTTTGTTCCTAACTTTCTATCAAGCTAGATTTGGGCTTCAAATATTGCTGTGGATCTGTAAAATGTCAAATAGAAATTTATTGCTAATTTGTCATGGTTTGATACTTTTCTTTATGTTTTGCATTCAGAAGTATGATTGATTGAAAACAGTTCTAGTCTATGTTAGGGGAGAATGCTTACTTTGGGTTTTTGGCTAATGGATGCCTCTTAACTTCCAATTTTTGCAATTGACTTTCTTGAAATTTTGAAAAATATATCATTAGCAACTTCTATCTGTTTTTTTGGTTTCATATTTGAATCATGTCATGAACCAACTATCCATAAAGTATTAGCTGTTGATGATGTTAAATGTCTGAAAGATGCTCCCATGCAAGTGCCCTTTTGTTTGTGCTTAAACTTTAGTCAGTGCACAGGCCCTGCACGATCCTGTTCTGAAACTTCCTTTATTTAGACGAATGGGGTATTGACGATTGGACTCTAGACTGCATGGTCACTAACACTGATAATATCTCATGAACCAACTATCCTAAAAGCTTAAATTGTTAGCTGAAGTCTCATCATGGTTATAAGTCTAATGTTGCTGGTAACTTGAAATGTTTTCAAAAAGCAATTTTTCCATTCCTTATTAAAAATATTTGTAGTTAGTGTTATGAACTGTGTTAGGTTTTAGTAATTTGGTATTGTAGTCAAAATCTTTTTAATTATTTTGTACACATACATTTGCTAATACATTTATAAGCAGTTGGGCCATATTTGGATCTGCTTCCATTATCTCTCTGCCGACCTGCTCCTTTTTTAAATACTTTTAAAATAAAATTTGGTAAAAATCAGCCATTTCTTTGAGTACAAATTAGTTACTGCAATTTTTTTCTTCAGAAAAATAAGTTAAAGGAGGGTAATTGTCAGCATTAATATTAAGGAGACTGTTTGCAATACCCCCTTAAGTTAAAGGAGGCTGCGTGCTTTACATTTCTATGGTCCTCAAATATTCTGTCCGCATTCACCCTTCTGTTTCCATTCCCTGAAAATCTTTCCGCCCTGATTCTCTTGTTCGTATCCTACATTACTTTTTCCTTATTCTTTAGTTATAACCTTAATGTGAAGAAGTTGCTGGGTAACCATATTTCTTAATTGCATGGATCAGGATTTTATCTTAAAGTAGAGATTCATATGAGTGATCAAAGAAATCTCCATAAATTAACTGTTCTGAGAGAAAATCATAAAATCGATATTACTGGTTTGAGATATTTTATCATAGATTTAAAACAGACAACCTATTATAAACTTTTGTTCATTTTGCTTCAGTCAGGCTTCTATCATATACTCAAATGAGTGATCAAGGACATCTGTAGGAATAAAAGTTTGTCAGAGATAAAATAATAACAATAATATTGCTGGTTTGAAATATTATATTGTTTTAAGCATGGCAAATACCACTTTTCTTTACATTGTTTTATTATACAAAAAATTTTATGGGTTTTTACAGCACCTGTTGGGCTCACCTGCGCAGTTGAGTTTAGGTGCAAATGGTAACTCCCTTTACTATGTATGACAGTTATACTTTTCCTGAAACTCCTAGTGTGGCTTGAATCATTTTTTTTTTTTTTCATTATCAGTGTTATTATTTTGGGTTGGTCCTGGATTTTTCATTTCTTTTCCCTGTTTTTATTGTCCACTTTATTGTTTCAGATAGTTTTGTTACTTATTACAATTATTTAACATTCAGGCATGCCAATTTGTGTTGATATTCATTTGCAGATATCCAAGTTGATGCGGTATGACTTTGACAAGGTTTCAACCCTGCCAATTCTTAAGGAATGGTAGCGATTTCTTGCTAAATGACGGTATCAGGGTATCAAATATGAAGAGATGTCTATTACATCATTATGGTGGTTTTATACTCTCGATGGCTAATTCATGGTGCTCCTCTGGGGAGGAAAGACCAGGAATAGAAGTTCCCTCTGCTTAATCTTGAAGACTTCTGTAATTTTCTCTTTTGTTTGTTTATTCCTTATCTTGGGCAAAACATTTTCATGATCACATGTTTTTGAGCATGAGTAGTGTAGCTGTATTAACTCTTTCTTCTTTTGGGGTACTTGTATGTAATGCAAGTTCAAAGCTTGTATAGGGATGGTGTTAGTGACTGGCAATGATAGGTGGATCCCATGCAGCATTTTAATAGTTTAGAAGCAGAAAGTTGTCGGGTTATACAGATTCTAGAGTATAGCCACTGCTGCTTATGATCTTGTACGAAGGAAACAAACGGACAAGTTCGCTTTTATAAATGCCTCAGTAATGTTGTACAATTCCTGTTATAAGACTTCTGCATGATGATATAATTTATATACATCATTTTCAGTAACTAAGTGAAAATAAGAGCATGTACGATTCTTTCAACCAAATCAAACTTCGGTTAAATTAAACTAAGCATTGAAGTTATTGCGGCTTTAAACTATTATCATATCCCAATGCTGCCATAGAAGTTCTTTCATGTACATGAATTTATGATGCAGGTGATAAATGTATTGCTCCTGCCTCATTTTGATCATGTTAATAATGAGACTTGATCCCTTCCTCTCGATGCCGCTTTAATGTTAGCAAATGAAGAACTATTTAGATGCATACGGCAAAATGCATTTATTTTCAAATTTATTCTAATAATGCAAATTTTATCTCATATATGGAGCATATACGGTGTAAATTGGAAGGCAAGAACAAAGTGCTGTTTCAAGAGTAAAGAAATGGCTAGAGAAATTACTCGAAGACAGAAAAGGAGTCTGGCAGAGAATAATAGCAGAATGGTTTTTCATTTTTATCTTCTTTCAGAGGGCTTGTTATGTTGCCTTTAGTTTCTACAATCACGGGCTCCATACCATCGGATTTAATTCTTTTATATTAAGATATATTTTTGAAGGTAAGTACACTTAGAGTTAATAATTAAACAAGAACGGGTGAGAATTGTTTTTATTTTCTTGTCAAGAAAATTATGTTAAATAACCCATCTTTAGTAGCTTGGATGTTTCTCCCCAATTAATATAACCATTTTGTTGACGCTAAAAAAACAAAATGTTAGTTTATCTAATGCATTATTAAATCAATTTGATTTCATGCTAACATATCTCTTACAAAAGATAATAAAAATATACTACTATAAAGAAAATGGTTTACTTATAGTTTTTTTTTAATTTGAAAAAAATATTTATCTTTTAATTAAGAGAGGTGTTATGAAAAATAAAATAAAAAAAGATTCGTGTAGCATATTCAAGCTATATAAAACATATATGAGAGGGTAGTTGTGCTTTTAGTCATTTTTTGTTTAATCTACTCTTAAAAATGTTTACAAGTGACATATAAAAGACGATCCTAAAGTACATGCTTTTTATGGATGATAAAGTGTTGATTAATGATTTAAGAAAAAGGTTAATGCTAAATTTGAGTTATGAAAAAAAACTTTAGAATTTATGGGTTTCCACTTGAGTAGAAGTAAAACATAGTATATGTATTGTAAGTTTAGCAAAAAAATAAGATGAGAATCGTGTGAGAAGTTAAAATTGAAGACAATATTATACATTAAGTTTCCAGGTTTAAGTAGTATGGATCAATTCCATAGGATGATGAAGAAATTAATAAAAATGTTACTTATAAAATACAACTAACTATCCTATATGGTAGTAAATGTTAAGCCTTAAAAGAACAATACGATAAAAAACAAGTGACAAAAATGAAAATGGTAAAGTAGATGAGTAGTCCCATAAGAAAGAACATGGTAAGAAATGATAGTTGTGATATCTTTTTATAGAGAACATAAATATCATAGAAGTTACAAATAACATAAAATACATTTAAATCATACAAAAGTTAAAATTATAGACTACCAAAATAAATAAGCACTATCAATTTGAGGCATCTACCGACCATTCTTGAATCTCGATAAATTTTGGCTAAAGTATGTCAATTTTTTACTTCATTAGTTCTACTATATGGTACTAGTAATATAAGTTAAATATTTTGAATAGTTATTATGACATCCTTAAATTTTAAGTTCAGTATACATAATAGTTTAAGTCGAAACTAATAAAATGAAATGAAATTTTCATTTGTATTACACATATAATACATATGTAGGAGGAGATTAAAACTTTTCTTATAAATAACTCCATTCATAAATTAACTAAAATAATAATAAAATAATAAATCATAATAGAATGATTATATGGTACTAAAATATTTAAGAAATATACATGTATCAAGATTATTTACATATAGACAGTATAATAATTTTTAAATATTTTATCAAAAAGTTGTAGGACTTAGAACATTTAATTACATTATCAAAATAAACTAAGCCTAAGAGAAGTTACAATCCATATTCAAAATACTGAGGATCCAGTCCTAGTCGTCATCCCCTTGTCAGCTTTCTATCTCAACTAATTCCTCTGAAGTCAAATCTTCATTCTTTTCAAGATCTTGGAGTCAGCCTCAGCCTCAACACCCGTTACTCACTCAACATATAACTAGGTTGGTCTTCCAAGGAGATCATGATCAAGGAATAAATACAAGTAGTCACAGTTAAAATAAGAAAATAACAAATTTACAAGAAAATACAAAGAGCGTGGCGAATCATTTCTTACCATGTTCTTTCTTATGGGACTACTCATCTACTTTACCATTTTCATTTTTGTCACTCATTTTTTTTATTGTATTGTTCTTTTAAAGCTTAACATTTACTATCATATAGGATAGTTGGTTGTATTTTATAAGTAACATTTTTATTAATTTCTTCATCATCATAACTGGATTGGTCCTCTATAAATATAAATACAAAGAGTGTGGCAAATCCTATTGTTTAGAAGAAAATCTAAGAAAATATTATAATCCAAGTCCATTTCTAAAGTATAAACTTGGCTAGATACAACAAATTTAAAATCACAAAATTGCTCATATCCTACACTATACAAATAGTCTACTAATCTAATCTGTCTTTGTAGTGCCATCATCCTTATTCCATGAAACTTTTAGTAAGGATGAACATATATTTTATCATTAAAAATAACTTAATCTCAATGACTAACATCACATCACAATTATAAGCATGGAATAAAAGAAAACTTAATGTCAATCTCAAAGACAACATATGAGCACAAATATTCGCTCTGTTCTAAAGATAAAATAGAGCTATCCTTACCTTAAAGTTAGTAAGGGGATTTGTGAAGAATATTTTTGGAAGAACAACGCCCTTCCTACATATTTTCAAAATAGAACACCTTTAAAAGGAGTGAAAGTAGAAAAATCAAAACATACTCAGAGAGCTGAGCTCCAAGGAACTTACTTGGAGTTGATCGGATTTGACGCTGAGTTCGAATTTGAGGAACGATCGAGGTTTGAAGGAGGTTTCTCTGTGAAAAGAAAGTGAAAGTTCAAAGAGAGTTGAGAGAAAACATAGAAATGAAATGTAATGAAATTTTTATGCTGAAATTATCTTAAATACCCTTCATATCTCGCGTGTTCTCGCTTGAGCAAGTGTGTTCTTGCTTGAGCAAAGTAATCCTCGCCTAGGCAACCCCTTTCTTGCCTAGGCGAGTGTTGAGAGATGAATCATGCAATAAGGGGTAAAATAGGAAAATATGTTGTAAGAGCCCACGAATAGAATAAAGAAATAAAGAAAGGAGCTTACAAGGCCAGAATGCCTAGAGTAAATAAAACAAAATCTAGTAGGCTATAGAAAGATAAGACAGGATCTAGTGTAGCGACCTTAATTACCGTAGCTGATGGCACTCCCATCCCATTAGAGTTTAGGGAAGAACGACCTTCAAAGAAAGAAAAGAAAGGAGAGTGATCTCAGAAGGAAGAGAAAGGTCGCTTAAGGAGTGCCTTGACTATAATGCATACCGGAAAAGGGAAATGCAATAATGGATTGAAGAAGCTAAAACCAATAAAAGTAAAACGACATAAGAAAACTAGGAAGCTATGACCAGCATCCCGGCGAAAGGTCCAAGGGTCCGTCGTAAGGGAAAGAAGTATACATAGCAAGGAAACAATAGGAAAGGTGTGTTTCACAAGTTCACGAACTCAGATATTACTTTGAAATCCTTGAAACGTAGTAATTTTCCCTGGTTCTAAAACAATTGGCGACTCCGCTGGGGAAGCACACCTAAGCATGGAAGAAATGCGCCCCATTACACCTCGAAGACTGTCCTTTAGCCTAGATGATTTTTCACCCGAAAGGGAATGAAAGACAAACCAATTTAACTAGGCGCAGGAGAGGTTGTTTGGCTGAGCACCAGAACTAGACCTTCTACTAGGTTTGGGAGCGTCGGCGACAAAGCCAGCACCTCCCCCTGAGGAATCCCAAGAAGGCGCACCTATGGCTAGCGTACCTCTAGCTGTATTAAACTCGCTCATTAATGGCCAACAAAACTTAGTGGAAGCCATAGCGAGATTGTAAGCACAGTCGCCTAATGTAGAGCAGCGACACTATGACCCCCAGATGAACGCTATCCCTGAGAATGAGAACGAAGTGTCACTAATGTGCCACGAGATACGACATTGGTTGTTAGAAGAGCAATGAGGGAAAGACAATGACATGGAGATGGAACCTCCCTACGGTTGGGAGGTGGCAAGGAAAACGTACCTATTTGGCTATGTTCCCCCAGGCTTTCAAAAGTTTGATGGATTTGGTAGTGCTTGTGAACACCTAATAGTCTTTCAAGATGATTTGGGGTGTTCCATAACGAAAAAGACTTACAGTTGCGCAAGTTTTCCAAGTCGTTGACTGGACAAGCATTTACATGGTACACGAAGCTCAAGCCGAACTTTGTGGCTACATAGGAGGAAATGGTTAAGGAATTTTATGGAAAGTTCTCAGAAGAAGAAGGTTTCCCCCATATCATGGACCTAGGTCGCGTCAAGCAAAGAACCAACGAGAACCTGGTAGTCTTCGTCAAAAGGTATCGAGATAAGGCTATGCAATGTAAGGAGATGTTGCCAGAGGCAGACCTAGTGTACATATGCTTAAAGAACATGGAGGACAGGTCCCAAATATTCCTGTCTCTAGGGGGTATAATTACCTTCTTTGAACTGATGAAACGAGCAATAGATGTGGGGGATGCAATAAAAAAAATAGGGAAACAGATGAAGAATATGGAACATAATAGTGATGTGTGTGGTGGACAATAAAAGAAAAAAATGAAGAGGTATAAGGTGGTACCTCCTCCACGAAACTACACGAGGCGAATAGAGGAAGAGATACTCCCACTCCCAATTTCTGGAGTGCAAGCGAGACAACTAGCGGAGAGTTGACTAAGGGACAACTTTTTGAGGCCGAGAGAAGAAAGGAAAACGTTGACTGAGGAAGAAAGCAAAGACCTTGCCTTCTACTTTGTCCACCGGACAAGGTCTTATGCAACTATAGATTGTCAAGTAG